AAAAAAAAACCCTACAAATGCAGGAATGGACTGCCTCTCTAAAAGCTGTTGATCAGGAGTCCCATGGACCCTCAAGCAATACTGGTCTTGGTTCCCCACCAGAACTGGATTGTAAGACCCTCTTGCTGAAGACATAACATACATGCACCGTAGAGCAAACAAGGATAAATCAAGTTCATGCCGACTTCAGAGCTTTACTGGCTAGCTTTCACAGTGCTGGAAGGTTCTTGCATGCTACTGGAAAGGAAGAAAGATCACCAGCCTTACCCAGCTGTGAATCCTGTGAACTACAACAACTGCCCTAGCAAGATATGACCATCAGTGCAATAGTGGCAAAAATATTATGGGTGTAACCAACCACTCTCTACTTGGATTTAAAGTCTGCTTTCTAGGATAGAGCCAATACCTGACATTGATACCAGGCTTAGGAACCTGAGACGAGACAGGTCACGGGACTTAGGGGAAACCTAATACTACTTTTCTCCTAAATAGTTATCATATTGAACTGACTCCTAATGACTTAATGTTATACCCATATATTAATGCATCTCTCAGCTGTCACCAGAGAAGTTTTCTTATGCAGCAGATGGTGACTAACACAGAAACCCACAAGTGGCCAATGTGCAGAGAACAAGAGGCTACAGAATGTGTATCCCCAAATCAGCTTATGCTAAAATAGTAACAACAGAAGCTGAGGACTCAGCAGTTGCTCAGTCCATGGGGCTGGGTGCCTCAGCAATCCCAGTCTGGTATGGAAAGCCTGGAGGGTTCCTGGAGAGCTGCTGGTCCTTAGTCAACAATGGAAGCCTGGAAACCCTGGGTCTGATGTCAGTAAAGGGGTCAGAGGCACCAATAACAGGGAGAATCAACTGGGCAGCAAGAGGGAAGGCCAAGAGCGAAAAGGGAAGTGCCTTCTGCCACACCCGTTTTATCTGGGTGGCTACCAGAGATGCCACCCGCATTCGGAGTGTGTCTTCCCAATCAATTAGGCAATCAGGACAGTTCCTGAGTTGAAGCACCCTACTCAGGTCATTCTAATTTGTGGTAAATTGACATTAAAATCAACTATTACATCCTCCATCAGCAGTATTTCTAGTTTAAGTGATCCTAATTGGCCAAATGCAGTAGCCTATCAACAATCATGGCTGTTTCTTGAGACACGGGATTATGGGTATTTTCTGCAGTTTTCTTTTGCTAATTTTTATCTTTTCAATAAAGCCAACAAGATCATGACTTAATGCATTATTTTTGTAATAAAAAACGTAAAATTAAGAGATGTACAACCTTTCCAGGTTTGAAGATGTTATTTTCCCTCTGTAAATTTTTCTGATTCCCTGACGCCAACGTGCCAGCTGTGCGCCCTTGGAAGTTCTTCTGTTTCTGTGCCTAGGGATGAAGGATATTTAGTTTGTTCCAGCTCATCCCTCTTTATTGGAGAGCACAGAACAAGAAAAATTGGCTGAAATTTTTCAAAAGCAAAAAAGAAAACAACAGAAAAATTGAAGCAGATTTTATTAAATGCAATTATGGACCTCCAAGTCTGCATTACATGGTAACGTCTACAACTCGGGCCACCGTCACCATGCACTGTGTGTTTGCTGCGCTACTCCTGGTGGCATGGCCAGGGCCGCCTCTGGAATTCCTGCTGCATGCTGCCCACCCTACTGATCTAGTGGTCGCACCACAATGCTCCAACTGTGACACTCAGTAGTGCAGCCTGAAAACTTTTCTCAGTTCCCTGAGGCCTCCCGGAGAGCAAGAGCTTCATCGTGGTTCTCCTGGGCACTCACTGGTTAGCACAAGGCCACACATTCTGTATGTGCCAGGTTGAATTTAGCTGAATGCATTAATGAATATGAATTCATGGTGTGGTGCTATAGGAAATACAGAGGTGGTTTGAACACACTTTGGAACCATTAAAAAAAATCCCACTGGGGATTTCATGTGAATTGATGAAGTTGCTAACAGAAAATTTCAGTATGAAAATAACTCAAATGTCTACAGTATGTCCTATGAAGTGTCACTGAATATTTTATGTCTATTTCCTAATCAAATCCCTGAAGTAATCCTGTTTACTATATATACATGTCCATATATATACAAGCACATCACCTAGGGCCCCAAACTTATGGTACAAGCATGCATTAGTTAGTATCATCTTCTGAGTCCCTTCATTTCGTTTTTAAACCCTGAGTATCCTCTTCTTGATGACCCCAGTGGTCCATACTTACAGAAGGTTGCTATGGGTATTCCTCTGGCTCTTGCTCTGATTAGACATTGAATTCATTACACTGCAACCACATACCTGACAGAAGCCACTTAGGGGAGAAGAGATTTTCTTCCATTTACAGCTCAGAGGGAGCAGTCCCATCAAGGTGAGAAGGCATGGTGGCAGGTCTGGCTTCTGTCCACGCCGTGAGTGTGAGGTGGCTTGTTCACAACTGGGCAGATGAGAAGGCAGAGAGAGCCCGGGTAGAACCAGAGTAGGATATCCTTCAAGATCTATCCTAGCAGGTTACGGCATGCTTCCCACCCCAGAGGTCTGATAATTATCAATGCAGCACCATCTGCTGCAGACCAAGTGTCCAAACCAATGAGCTTGTGGAGACATTTCACATTCTAACAGCACCAGAGAGATCACCCGAATTCTTTCAGTGTACGATTTGAGAAGCCTAGGGAACATTTCAAAATGTGCCCTGACCTGAAAAATCAGAGTCTAGAGGAGAATCAGGAGACCCTGTTATAAGCCAACCAACCTGTCCTAAAGCAAGTAAGATGGCCGCTCTCGCAGGAAAGTCAGTCTGCTTTCCTAGATTTCTTTTTTCACCTTTCCATTGCAATTCTTCAACTCCTGTGTGGCATTTGTTCTTTTAAAAAGTTTATTTATTATTTTTTGTGTATTAGTGTATCACCTACACGTGTATAAGTGCACCCGTGTCGTGCAATACCGCAAAGGTCAGAAGACGGTTTGTAGCCACCATATGGGTGCTGGGAATCGAACCCGGGTCCTCTGTAAGAGCAGTCAGTGCTCTTAACCACTGAGCCGCCTCTCCAGCCCCTGTGTGGCATTTCTCAACACACTGTCCTGTGGGCAGCTTCGTTTTCATTCCTTTATTCTTGGCTGGTTTGACGAGAACATGAGATAAAACTCAGTAAGTAAACAGCGCTACAGGGAGGATCAGAGCAATATTTTTGGTTCAGATAGAATTTTTAAAATAAACATAAAATCGTATGGGCTAGTTGTATATAACATCTTTTGTGTATACATACATTGTAAAATGACTAAATCTCTGTGGTTAGCATATACACCTTTTATATGGTATTTTAGTCAGGAGCATACACAGTTTTGTTAACTGTTTAACACATTTGTTACCATGTCGCTCTACTGTACAAACTCTCTCTTGAACTTGTTCCTCTTATCTAACTATAACTGTTTATTCTTTGACTGCCATGCCTCAGTCCTGCCTGTCCTCTAAGTACCCCAGCCTCTAGTAACCACCATTCTACACATGACTTATCTGAGATCAACATGTTTACATTGCACATATGAGTCAGATCATGTGATGTTTGTCTCTGTTTCTGACTCCCTTCACTTCCCATCACATCCCCCACAGTCATCCATGTTGATGCAAATGGCAAGAATTTCTGTTTTTATGGCTGACTAATATTCCACTGTGTATATAACACATTTTCTTTATCCATTCTTTGGTAAATGGACACTCAGGTTGATGGTGCATCTTGACTGTTGTGGATGATGTTGCAATAAACATAGATGCACAGACACTTCATCAACATAGTAATTTCATTTAGATAGATATAGATATAAACTCAGTATCTGCATCATGTAGCAATTCTGGTTTTAGTTGCCCTCATAGTAGCTGCTGTTTATATAAATGTTCCCTTTTTCTCCAAATTCTCTCCCACGTTTGTTGTATTTTGTCCTTTCTCTACAACCATTTTTACTGGCATAAGATCATATGTAACTGTGGCTTTGACTTACATTTACCTGATGGTTATTGGCATTGCACGATTTTACAAAACTATAATCTATTTGTATATTTTCTTTTGGGAAATAGCCTGTTTTTAATCAAGTTGTTTTCTTACTATTGAGTTAGTTCAATTGCTTGTGTATTTTGGATATTAACTGTCTATAGCATTTCTGTAATCTCATAAAATTAATATTATTTTGAAACAGTAGAAATCCTTTTTAACTGGAGCTTTTAAAGTAAAAAAGAGTCAATTCACATACTCAAAACATAATCCAATAAAAGCTTAAAATATGCTTACCATCTGATTAGAGTAAAAGCAATGTCCTCAGGTTGCATTGCAACCTTGAAAACGTACGCCCAAAGCGCAGAGGCCTAGCATGCCGAACTTGCTTCAGCCAGAAACTGTGCTGGCTGAGCAACGGTCTGTTTGTCATGATGAGAAACTAACAGTAATGCTTTCCAAAGGGGACCTGGGAAGTACCTTGGGAAACTAAGTCACACACCTCTCACCTTGAACAGTATGATTTATAAAAGTTTTCTGCCTCTGTGGGAACTTAGTCAAGTATTTTTGGTACATCGTCATCTCTATTGCAGCTTTCATTTTTCAAAGATATCAAACCAAAGCCCCAAACTTACGGTAATGACATACATGGTACAGTTAACCAGACAAAAAGATACATGTACAGCCCCCAATTTTGTAGTAAAAATTTCGTCATGTTTCAAATGAGGACAAGATTTTTGTCTTGGTTTCTTCTCTGTCATCATGATAAAATACCCTGACAAAGGCAACTTGAGAAAGCAAGGCTTGGTTTTGGCTCACAGTTATGGAGGAGACAGTCTATCCTAGTGGGGAAGGCACTGTAGTAGCAGGAGGCGAGCCTGTCAAATTTAGCAGTCCAGTGGCAGTGAGAACAGGAAGTCAGTCCAGACTATATAAAACCTTAAAGCCTGCTTCTAGTGATACTTCCTCCAGCAAGGCTCTACCTCCTAAAGTTTCCATAACCTTCTCAAACAGTACCCCCTGAGGGGAGCCAAGTATTCAAACACATGAGCCTCGGGGGAGATACTTTACATTCAAACCACGACAATATCTTTCACAAACCTTATCCCTATAGAGTTACATGTGAGTTGTAATTAACCTCGAAACAAAAACATGTTCTCTATCAAAATATGTTTATATTATCCAAATTGCGAATTACCTACAAAAAGACATCAGACATAGAGCAAGACTCTGCCTTAAAACCAAAACAATAAACACGGGATACCATGCTGGGGTATTTCAGTAAAAACATGAGCGTTCACGTTATTCCTCGTCAAATAACTTGCTTGTTCTGCTGTACTCCGTGTTATTTGAATCAGACATGTTGAACCAAACATTTTAAATGTGATAAGTATCTCTCCCTTTCCTTCTATTAGATATTTTCTCAATGATTTCTGACTCCAGCGGAGTGATGGTTTATGGACGATATGACCAGTTCCTTCGGGAAGTTCTCAAACTACCCACAGCAGTTTTTGAAGGTCCTTCATTTGGTTACACAGAACAGTCAGCTAGATCCTGTTTCTCCCAACAGGTAACATTTTTAAGGAAATATCTTTCAAACAGTGTTGTTCTCTTTCTGTATGTCATTCCCAGTCATAGATATCCAAACTCTTCTTCATAACAGTAACCTAAAGTCTATTTTCCAGCCTCTGACAAATTATCTCCAATCCAGTAAGTATATAACACATGAATAGTAATAGTACCTCGTGTTCACTGACCGAGAATGAGGCACTATGCTAATTCTTACTGCTGTCTAATTAGTCCTTACAACCTACACCCTCCATTGTTATTATTGTTACTCAGCTCCCAAAAGAGGCAGGCCTGACCAGACACCAAGATCTACCAATGTCCATTGAAGGAGAGGAAGAAGTCATGCCACCTGCCACATTGCTATCTGGGTGGTCCAACACATGGCAAACATAGCTGCCTAGATGTTAAACAACTTGATGTACTGATGCGTTTCAACTAAGCATGTTGCAAGGGAAGGCACCTAGTTTTGTAGCATCTACAGTGTAAACCTCCATAGGAGGACCACGTGTCCATTCCCTAGCACAGTGCCATGTTGGTTTACAAATGCATAATGTTGAAGATTTGTTTACAATTGTATGAAAGTTCAAACTAACCATGTTTGCCCTCTCAAGAAGAAACCTGTGTATCTAAAATCTAAAACAAATTTTAAAAGGAAAAGAAATCAGTGCACAGCAGCTCCTGGGAACCTACACTGATCATCCAGCTAGTAACACCATCCGTCTGTGTGTACTTGGCCATCTGGAAAGTTGAGACTGAATCAGGCATCTCTCCAAATCATGCACCTATGTAGATACTTAAATTGTCCTCAGGATTCATAAAAACATGGCTGGCTGCAGTAGATGTTAGCTCCGTGCCTGTGCCAGCTCAACCAAGGAAGTCTTTCTGACTCCCCACATCCCCAACCCCAATACTCAAGTGGGCTTAGGTGCCTCTGTGTGTTCCTATCAATTCTGCTCCCAAGCAGAGCATTCTCCTCTCTTTCTCTTTGGACTTGGTATTCCTCCTGTCTAACTGCATCTTGGTACCTATTACCCGCTACCCCTCCAGATCTCCTGCTCCCTTTCCAGTCCCCAGCAACCACTGTTCTGTTCTCTGAGATAAATGTTTTGATGTTCTACATGAGTGACAACCTGTAGTATTTGTCTTCCTCTGCTTGACTCTTGTGACTTAAAAGAACTTTTATGCTCAAAAACAATTATATGTGGGGCTGGAGAGACAGCTCAGCAGTTAAGAGCAGTTGTTGCTCTCACAGAGGACCAGAGTTCAGTTCCTAGCACCCACGTAACAGCTCACAACCATCTGTAACTTCAGTTCCAAGGCATGTCCTGACACCCTCTTCTGCCCTCCACAGGTACCAGGCAAATATGTGGTACACATATATCCACACTCAAATGCATAAAATAAGTAAATATTTTAAAAATTGTATGATACTCTCATGCTAATAATTTCTTCTAAAATATTCTATTAACCTGTAGTATCATCATTTATTTATCCTTAATGATGATAAATTTATACACATCCAAATAAAAATGACATTTTTGGAAACGTCCTGAACTGGTTTTATTTTTAGCTAATGTGGTTGAGTCACCAAAATGAAAAAGATCATTTAAACTAAAAAAGTAACACAAAAAAGAGAACTTTATTTTTGTTTTGCTTTTTGTAACAGCAGTTTAAAAGGCTGAAATTCCAAGTGTGTTTGAAATATTTCATTGGAAAAATAGTCCAAGCTGCCCAGAGGCAGCAGCTTAAAGAACAGTATTACATTAGACATGGAAATCCTGGTAGTTTATAAACACAATCTTATGCTTTGTACAACATATATCTTAATAGTAATATAGGTTGAAAGCTTAAACTATTTAGTATTATAAGGAAACACTAAAACTATAAATTCTTAGTAATAAAAACAGATTAGCTAATGGGTCCTGAAATCATTCTATAGTGACTCACATAGATTAGTATAAGCCATGGCCCTTAAAAAACAATCTCTTTGTCACCCATTATTACTTAAAACTATGAGCATTCTATCCATCTCAATATTCCAATTTAAATTTTCAAGTAAAATAGTGACATCTGCATTCGATCATGTAATTTTTGTAAATCAAAAATCCAACAGAGCCGTTTGCATGTTCAGAGCTTGAGCAAGTTGAGAAAGTTCTGAAGGGAAATTGTTACAAAGGCAGGCCAACCAGGGGAGAGCTACAGAAGGCCTTACGATGCACTGCTGAGAGCTTCAGTGCTCCGACTCTCCTTGTCGTGTTCTCAATGTCCTCATCTCTGAAGATGATGCTATCAGAATCCTCATGTCCTGCTGATGCTACTGACACAGGTTTACTGGAGATTATCTGGTCTCATGTATGTTTAGGTGCAGAAAGCAATGAGTGTTTTCAAATTGAACTACTGTAACAGCATGCTTGGCAAGCTCTGCGTCCTCCTATACATGGAGTTAAAGGAATGCTTTGGTTCTTCCTTCTCAGGTGACATTTAGGTAGCAGGTAAATTCAGATTATTCTTTGCCCTAAATGGTTGTGATTTTTCTTTTATTAATGCAGAAAAAGGTCACGTTAAATGGCTTCTTGGACACGCTCATGTCAGACCCTCCTCCACAGTGTCTGGTTTGGCTGCCTCTTCTGCATCGACTGGCAAATGTAGAAAATGGTAAGTAGTTACATGATTCTATACATAAAAAGCCCTAAAGACTCCACTGAAAACTGCTAGAGCTGATGAGCACATTCAGAAAAGTAACAGGATATGAAAATCAGTAACTTTCTTATATACTAATAAAAACAATGAGAAAGAAGTCAGGGAAACAATCCCATTCATAATACCCTCAAAAATCATAAGATACCTTGGAATAAATCTAACCAAGGAAGTGAAGGACTTGTATGATGAAAACTTTAAGACATTGGAGAAAGAAATTAAAGAAGATACCAGAAGATGGAAAGACTTCCCATGCGCATGGATAGTAGGATTAATATTGTGAAAATGGCCATCCTACCAAAAGCAATCTACAAATTCAAGGCAATACTCATTAAAATTCCAACACAATTCTTCACAGAAATTGAAAAGTTGACATTTCTGTAGAAATCTCATATTTCACATGGGAACACAAAAAACCCAGGATAGCAAAAAGAGAACTGAACAATAAGAGGACTGTTGGAGGCATTACCATCCTTGATCTCAAATCATACTACAGAACTATAGTAATAAAAGCAACACGGAACTGGTATAAAACAGACACATTGACCAGGGGGATAGAACTGAGAACCCAGATTTAAACCCACACATTTACAGCCACCTGATATTTTACTAAGGGGCCACAAAACCCACTGGTAAAAAGACAGCGTGTTCAACAAATGGTACTGGTCTAACTGGGTAAGGACATGTAGAAGAATGAAACTAGCTCCCCATCTCTCACCATTCACAAAAATCTCCAGATGGATTAATAACCTTAACATAAGACCTAATACCCTGAATCTGAACCAAGGCCATTTTTAAACTGTTCAAATTAGACCATTAAGTCTGTAGTTATGACATCTGTGTTAGTGTTTTAGGGAAATCTGTTTAGTGGTTTACAGTTTTGTTTAGAATAGAATCGACCTATCTCCTGACTCATAAAATGTTATAGTAACATCACAAAATTAGGATTATCAATGCTGAAAACATTAAATCTCATTGGACCCTCCCAGCTACAATCTACGTGTGTTCAACAGAAGGACCCCAATAAAAACTGTGGCATTTTCTAGTATTTGTTTTAGATCTGAATTTCCAATATTATAATATATGACATTGACCATGTCTTCCAAGGCAGTTAACCAGGAACAAGTAATGGCAATAGTAAAAGTTAAATAATACAGTTTGTTCATCTTAAGTCATATGTTTCAAATTGCAAGCATTCAGTAGTTAACTGTATGTCAAAGATAAGACTAATGTAAATTTCATTGCATGTTTCTCTTTAAAAATAACAAGAGAAATATTTGCTGTTGACACATTCAGATTTAAATATGAAATATAATCTAAGACAAGAGTTAAAGAAATTTAGATGTTCAACAGTTTAGAGCATCTACCTAGCTTTAGCGTATTTGCATTTAATATTCAGCTGTAATATTTCTCTGCATTTGAATAGAAAATAATCTACCCCATGTCTCTTTCTAGTTTTGATGTCTATATATTTATTTAATATACTTTTGAGACTAAGGTTGACTTCATTTTAAATTCTCATTCAGAATTTTTACCATCTGACTCTATTGTTTCTCAAAGTTAAAACTTCATCCTATTTTGCTTTGGGGCAATGTTTATAGGATGTGCTTTGTAGTTTCTTTGCAGATCTGACAGTCACGTATATAAAGAGGCAGAGATCCCTCAGGCTCCTATTCGGGGATAGGATGTGTTCAGATTTCTCATCATCCTTCTAGAACTGGTCATGCTCCAACCATAAAGCTGTGATTTCATTCCTAACACCTAAGCATTCCTATCGTAGGAGACATCTTTCTTAGGCCCTTGTCCAGAGCAGTTGGCCAGCCTCCACCCCAACCCTGCCTTTTCCAAGAGCAGGAGATGGGATGCTTCCTCAGTAGGCAGCACACCCAGAACTGGCTGGGTCTTGTTTTCACACTTCACTTCTTGATCTTCCTTCACTCTCGCGGCTGGTGAGCTGAAGAACAACTTTACCCCAAACAAGAACTGTTGTTGCTGTTGCCGCAGCTGCTACAGTTTCAATATCTTTAGCTCATAGTGTGTAGATAAACCATTTGGGTTTCAATGGGTATTAACTTCACATATGAGACTTTATACCTTGCCAGCTTGGCAGCTACAATTCCCTGTCCAAGCAATCAAAGTGTCTCTTGAACTATCTGAGTCCGAACTGTATTCAGATAATCTGTCTGTCTCTGGGGTACCTGTCCTTCTGCCTCAGAAAAGAACAAATATGTGTCCGTTAGATAAAGACAATGTCACTCATTAAAGAAGCCCATTAGCGGCTCCGTATTTTAGAGTTGCTCAGTTCTGTCGTTTTTCTCTGCTCCCTAGCTGTATGTTCCTCCTTTTCTCCCCCTCATTTTCTGTGTCATTAGTTCATGCTGCTACCCACTGGCACTCAACCGAGTCCATCCACTGGGCTTCTGACTCTTAGTGAGCCCCTCTGGTCTCCAGGAGACAGTCTGGGGAAAAGATTCGTCAGCTTGGATAAGTGGCATCTTGTGACTTAAGCAATGGCAGTAGGGAAGGGCCAATGGCATCAGAGAGATTAGCGTTGTCAAAAGACACCTGTTCTTTGCCCTTGTTCATATCTGCCCCCACTCTCTACCGCCCCCCACACGCTCAGGGCTGAAAAGGGTAGTTCCAGGAATAACCTGACGGATTTCCTGAGTCAAAATAGTCTGAAATCATGGCGCACAGCAGAAAATTATAACTCCTGGTAAGCCGCGGCTTTCTTCACTCTGGTTCACGCTTTGTTTTCCTGGTTTCCCTCATTTACTTCCCTTCAGTCTTCCATCCGGTTGAGTGTTCCTACTGCCACAGCGAGAGCATGATGGGATTTCGCTACCGATGCCAACAGTGTCACAACTACCAGCTCTGCCAGGACTGTTTCTGGAGGGGCCATGCAGGAGGTTCCCATAGCAACCAGCACCAAATGAAAGAGTATACCTCATGGGTAAGCCAGGTTCACACAACAGAGTTGGGTGTGCGGGTATGGCCCAGAATGGAAGTCAGTGTCAAGGGTGGTGACAGAATTAAGGGGCAAACTTAACTTGGACCCCAACATTCCTCCCCTCCCCTCTTTCCGCAGCTACTGGGATCTGTTACTGTTGTATCAAAGCCCAATGTGCCTTCCTCAGACTTAAAACAATAGCCAATCTATGCTTCTTCTTGCAATGTAGATCAGTACTGATTTGAATAACAGAGATGCAAGTTCTGAAACATAATCTTATTTTCATAGTAAGTCAAGGGTTTTTCTAAGTTTCACTCGGCTTTGTTTCTATGCAAATTGTTGAAAAATATTGTCTTAACATTTCTGAGATCCTTAGTTTCTCTCAAGTGCATGAATAGAAGTATGAAAGTGTGCCCTGAGCACTATCCAGTCTGGGTTTCTCGGAGAATGGAGAGGAGGGACTGCGACTTTATTAGCAAGTCACCTTGTCATAAATAGCATAAGGAACTAACTTACAGTTGACATGTGAGTGCCTGTTTGACAGATCTATCCTCAGACATCTGTAGCATTGAGCCTGTGGGAGGAATTTGACTTGTGTGCCTCATGGTTTTCTGATCTACCTCAGTCAAACTCAGAGTTCAGTTCTAACAATGTCTCCTATGTTTTTTGTTCTGTGAATGGATTGGTTGCTGTGGATGGTACCATCAGCTGTGCCAGACTTACTTGAAATAATTCAGTCACAATAATATAAAGTTTTAATAAATATAAAATATTAATGTAAAGTTTAATATATAATATATAATAAAGTTTCAATATATAATATATATTCATATTATATATGAAGTCCAGGCAAGGCTAAAACAAAAAGATTGAAAGTCTGATTCAAGGCAAGCCTGGACCACATAGCAAGACCTTACCTCGGGGAAAACAAAGTCTATAGAACTTGAACGTATGGGCCTGTTCCTGAGAAGATGTGAGCAGACATCTGTTTATTCCAGATAAGGAACCAGTGTCTGAGTCCAGCTGGATGAGCCCATGAATTTATCGGAGTTACTTATAGAAAGACACATAAGTAAGGGGTTACTTACCAGAGCATGGACTATTCAAAGGCAGCTGCATCATAGAATAGCCCACGCAGCCTGGGGGACAGCACACAAAGGCAGCATCCCTGGGCTCTCCCACCGACGCCCCACCCAAAGCTCCCTCCGCAGCAGTTGTTTACTGCTTCCATTGTGGTGGGAAGGGGCTTGTGAAACTTTCTGAGCTTCCCAAAGCCTTGTAATTTCCTGAGCCTAGTAAGTTTCCGTAGCTTTCTGAGTCTTACAAGCCTCCTTTAGGAGGGAAGGTTTGGAGAAACAGTTGCACAATAGCAGGCTAAATTCGAATGTTCTTTCCGGGAGGTTTTATGGGACATATTAGTAGTTCATCATCTGTCAGATTCTGACTTGAGGACACAGCTCTTTATTAAGGCAGAGTGTAGCCTCATGCCAGATCAGTTGCCCCGTTCACTACTTACTCTATACATCAGCATGGATCATGAACTCTAATCTAGCGCAGATGACGGGAACAGACACTTCCTGATTGTTGACATATTGCAAGTTTTCAAACTTCCAACTCAAATCCTGCAGGTGATATCTAAAGACAAATAGATTTTGTTTTGTCTAAACACTAAAATCACATCAAGAACCTCTTTCTTGTGAACACTAAAATTGGATGACAGGATACTGTCTTGGCAAAGTTAAAACCAGAGTCTGCAACAAGACTTTGGGCCCAATGACTTATGGGAAAAGTGCTATTGGCGCTACTGATTTTAGTGTCCTAAGAATCACATCTCCTTACTGAAGCCATAAAGACACCCCTAAGCAAAGTTTCTGATACTTTAGCTTCAAAGTAATGAGGGCAAATGTCATTTTATCATATTCGAAGTGCAAATTCCCTGCGGTTTTCTTTTAAACAAAATGACAAATCATAAGTGGCTCCTTATGGAAATAGGAAATTTGATTAGAGATTTATTATGTAGATATCCTATTAAGTTTTATATTGTAGGTTTATATTAATCTTAACGGGGCCATGCTAAGATAAATATCCCATCAGTCCAAATGAACAAACAGTAGCATGATGCTCTGCAAGGCATATGAATTTTAAATTCGGAAGTTGCAAACTGAGCCTCCACATTTAGTGGTGTCTGGCCTGGTGCTCCCAGGAAACATCTTCCACCTGGACTCCCAAAAACGCTTTTGCTCAGTCTTTCCTCACAAGTGTCTCCTCCCAGAGTGACTTCTGTTCTGAAGTGTGAACAACCCCTCTACAGTCAGTCCTCACCTGTCACTCCTAGACTTAAAGTCCTAATTCTCCCCCTCTGCCTGTGGGATGAAGATGTCTCCTTGACCTCCAGTCTGAGGACTTTGTTACCTCTCTCCAGAATGGGTTCTCAACTTCCTCCTCCCTGTATAGCTGCCATTTCTTCCATCTGGAATTACCTCCCCAGTCCCCTGGGTTTTTCTCAGAAGGACTCCAGTGGCCCACTACACCCCAGCTCAGGTGCTCCCCACACAACAACTTCTTCCCTTTACCACATTTTTTGCTGGCACTCCACAGCAACAAGTAAGTTCCCTGGGGGCTTCTTCTAGCACTCAGCCCCAGTACCTAGCAAGCATCCTGACTTAGAGACTCGGTGCTCAAACATCATTCTTTAATAAGTGAATCCATCAAGAAATAAACAATGAACAAACAAATACATGACTATGAGTAAAAATTGAAAAATCAGATAAAATGTACCCCCATTGCTAAAACTTCTCTCTCTTTTCTCTCTAGAAATCACCTGCTAAGAAGCTCACGAATGCATTAAGCAAGTCCCTGAGCTGTGCTTCTAGCCGTGAACCTTTGCACCCCATGTTCCCAGATCAGCCTGAGAAGCCACTCAATCTGGCTCACATTGTGTGAGTACCTCTGACCCCAAACTAAGATGTGTTTCTTCACTCACACGTGGCTGGAGAAATTCATACTGAGACCGTTTCTTGCCATGTGTCAGGGAACAATTGTTACTTATTCTTTACTACTTTTTGGTTAGCACACAAAGAAATGGGATTCCCTGTGACCTTTTACTTTGCATAGACCTTATACTTTGTTCTTAATTGGCCCGTTGCTCTCCCCTGTATCCCTCTTCTCCTTCTTTCATGACTTACAGACAGACAGACAGACACACACACACACACACACACACACACACACACATACATGATCAAGTTTTAAACTTTAATTTAAAAAAGAAACAGATCAAAGTAATACCATGCTGGCATGAGGCAAGCACTCAGAAAACCAATAGAAAATTGATCCTGTATAAGGTGGTTAACTTACTTCTGTTTTTTTAAATTATGCTCCTATAAACAACCTAGACTAAATAAACCAGAAGAAGTCACAGCAGAACAAACACTTAGAGTGATTAGTTGCACAAGAGCTGTTTGGATTAAGGTTTTCATTTTTCCTTTGTATGGCCAGACAAATTGCTAGGGAGGGAGCACAGAGTGGGAACAAGCCTGTGCCCTCTGAGCTCCACCTAGAGTCTTTTCTACCAGGCCACCAGGTGATTCACTCAACAGAAGCTTTCCAGCAAAGCTCTGGGCTTGCAGACAGGAGTGGGAGGGGCCTGGTGCTCAGGGCGCTGCAGTGACAGAATGAGGGAAGGTGCTGCTGCAAGTGCCTAGAAAAGAACTAGGAAGGGGGCATTGCGAAATACAAGTCAGTTTGCTTGTGAGTCACATGGACTTACCTAGCTCGGGGCCTTGTACATAGTCGGCTCTTAGGGTATGTGTGTGTGTGTGTGTGTGTAGCTCTGATGCGTTGTATAAAAAATATACATGCATGTCTTTTATCATAAGTCTTTACAACTCTTTAGAGTGCTAGACACTGAAATAAATTAATGGACACTTTAAGAAGCACAAAATACCAGTTCTCTCTCCACATTTAATGCCCTTAATTTATCACTCCCGTTTTACAAGAACCCTTGGATGTAGCAAAGAGAGACTGAATTGATACAACTTTTAAACAGATGTGGTACTACTAACTCACATACATGCACATTTACATGTGGAAATGAACCACATGACACAGGAAAATGCCAATTCCTTGCTATAGTCAGGGTATTTTATGCACATGTAGCAAAATGTGCCTGCCAGTCATGATTTTGTCCTTAAATAGAACTGAGCAGGTGGTGACATTCTGGTGTTTGGGCATGTGTGCTTAACTATTGTGTTGCTTGTAAATGTTGCCATGATTAACAGTTTCTATTCTGTTCCATATTTTTTGCTGCCAAAAGTGACACTTGGTAAGTTGTTGGACAGTTCCCCCACTGTGCTTACAAAACTTAACAATTCTAATAAGTAGTTATGAGATGCAAAAAAGTGAGTCATGTGGGACCAGTTTAAAACTCCTCCTGCTTTGAGCTGAAGCTTTGCACTTTGTAAGAAAGATGTCAGCTTTTTTTTTTTTTAAGTTCTCTGCAAAGATTTACACAGAAAAAAAAAGAAAAAAAAACCTTCGCACAGGGCCTTGGAGACTTGCTCACTTTGTGGCTTCATTTTCATGAATCAATATATTTAGCACCTCCAGTGTGACTCTTGTGTTGAGTGAGGCAGCTTGCCATTTGTGATAGCAGAAACAGGAACTTCGGCTCCTCTCAAAGTGGCCCATTTCTGCCAAGATCAGCCATTTTGTGCTCTAAATTCAACATACTGATGGTGAGCCTTAAACATGAAGCTATTTGCTAAGAAACCCCAATTTCAACTTTGCAGTGACCAGTTTCAACAGAGAAAATTTGCCAAGTTACTTAGAAAGGATGACTGCTGGGAGGAGGAGAGACAGCCTCTTCCAAGGATGGGTCTCTTGGTAGGTTTACCAGGCTCCAGTGGATGACCATGCTGAGGGACATGTGGGGACACAAATCAGACTCTATAGGCTGCATTGCATACATAGTGGAATACACCGAATTGGGCGGGGGAGGAGGTACAGACAGGAGAGGGATCTACATACCATCAAATGAAATTGTGTGAATATCACAAAATTTAATAAAACATTTTTGAAAAGTATTCCAACTCACTTGTTTTGTATCTCCTAGGTATAGAGCAAAACGGGAAAATTTTTTGAGACAGAAGAAAGCCAGAAACATGGGGTCAATTTCAAATGTTTGCAAAGCTACAACGGACATATTTCAATTCTGGTTGATGCTATAAAATCTGGTGTGCCTAACTTCCTAGTTCCAGGGGACATTGCATAAAATGAGCATTTTTCTTATAAACTTGCTATTTGACTCAGGCACAATTAGTTTAAACTAGCCTTGTGTTGCATACTTAACGAATATAGCTGGTACATCCAGAGTAGCTAAAATAGTGAATCTGTTGTTTGACCTCATCCAATAAATGATGAATCATACAAAATCTTAAAATGCAGCATGGCACCAGCTTCCAGGAAGAACTTTTGATGTGTTTCTGCAGCTAGTGCTGACATTTAAAACCGGCACGGCATCATTGCCATTGCCACAACCAAGACAAAGAAGTCCACCTTTTGCCCATTTTAAGCTAAAAGTCCAAAACTAACTCCGGTTTGCTAAGTTAGAAAATTAAACCATTTGGGCTGGAGAGTTGGCTGAGCAGTCAAGAGTACTGGCTGATGTTGCGGAGGACCTGGTTCTGTTCCCAACACTGACATGGTGGCTAACAACCATCCCTAACTTCAGTACTAGGGAACCTGACACCTTTTCTGACCTCCACGGCATTGCACAACAGGGGTACACTCACATACATGCAAGCAATAAATACACTCATACACATAAAATAAAATTTAAAAAATATTAAAAAGTTAAACCATTCACAAAATTTACTCTTAATATGAATTGATCCTTTATGATACTGAAACTAATGTCTCACCTCCAAAAACTTCCACACTGTCAAGTTCAAATTGAATTTTAGTAAAACTAAAATTTCTTCTCAGGGCTGGGGGTGTAGTTTGGTTAGTAGCGTGCTTAGGTAGCATGCATGAAGCCCTTTGTGGATCCCCAGAACCACAAAAACTGAGCATAGTGATGCATGCCTGCAATCCCATCACTCAGGATGTGCAGACAGGAGAATCAGAAGTTCAAGGTCATCCTAGGCATAGTGAGTTTGAGGCAAGCCTGGGCTACATGAGGCCCTGTCTAAATAAATAAATAAATTTCTTCTCACTCATAATAATGCCTCACTACATCCTTCATCTTCCAAATTCTAAATCGTACCTCATTTTACCATTCAATATCTTAATTTAATGTAAAATAAGACAAAACCATCTGCAAGATGAGGTAGCGATATTGGCTTTATAGTTTTATCTAATGTGACACCTGCCTGATAGAGACAGGGTGACAAGGTGAAACAGAGGTAAACTGAGGAAGACAGACTGAATGTAGCTGGACTGTAGGGCCATGGGCAGCTCTGAGCAAATGTAACCTATCATGAGACTCCTGGTGCTGCTTCATGGAATTTGCATTTAGATCAAAGAGAAAGCAAGATATGATTTTGCAGCCTGTGTCTGTCCAGACTACCAAGTTAGAGAAGGATCATGAAGAATATAGACCTCTCAGAATCCCTGATCTGTTCAAAGCTCAGAGCTCATAGACAATATTCTCTTGTTGCCTGAGACCTTCCCAGTGTTTCACTGACCTCTGTGTTCCTAAGAAAATGTAACATCATAATATTTGAATAATTCATTTGGAATATGTAAACTATCATGTAGACCCTGGGCTAGACAGAACTCTGATCTCATCCCTTCTCTCCATGGACGGTAAGTGCTCTTGATTTACAGCTTGGCTTTGCTTGAACTTTTCATGCATCTTGTGTTTGGTTTCAGGCCTCCCAGACCTGTCACCAGCATGAATGACACACTCTTCTCCCACTCTGTTCCCTCCTCAGGAAGTCCTTTCATAACCAGGAGGTAAGTTCTAATCCTGTCACTAAATAAACCTTCACTCTCTGAATGAGCTTGAGTCTATGGCAAGAAAAATATTCTAATATCAGCCAAATGCAGAATATTATTTTTGGAAATTGGTTATAAATACCCATCCTATGTTTTCAGTTTCCCTCACTTAGATGCCTGTGAAGAGGGCTGGGTCAACTTTTGAGGTTCATGTCACTTCTGGAGAGCTGAATTTATAACCCCCCTCCCAAAGTGAGAATGTAGGGCGTGCTGCAGTTTTACTGTGGACACACATGCTTTCGATCTCACTCAGCGAGTTATGCTTCCAGCCCTTGCAATGTTCTGGGGAAGATTGGGAATTAGAATTCCACAAAGCAATGGTGTGCTGTTACCAAGAGTCTGGAATGGTGCCTTAGTTAAGACTCTACATATAACAGAACCCTCTTCTGGGTGACCTCTGGAGGTCCTGAGACCAGAGGCTGAAGACCAACTTAGAAATATAGCTCCTATACAAATAATTGCATGGATAACAGCAAGAACTTTCCAAAAGCATGGGTATGTGCCTCATCTTTTTTGCATAAAATCTGTTCCTATGTGTTCAAGGACCAAGGGACGCATGCAGTTCTCTAAGAGTTAGTGTTAGCAACACACGGAGCTTGAAAGGTGCTAAAACATCACAAATCGGGGGCTGGAGAGATGGCTCAGCAATTAAGAGCACTGGCTGCTCTTGCTGAGGACCCAGGTTCAGTTCCCAGTACCCACGTGGCATCTAAAAACCATCCCAGGGGATCTGATGCCCTCTTCTGACCTCCATAAGCATGGCACAACACAGGTGCATTTACATACAGCAGGCAATACACGCATACACATAAAATAAAATATTTTTTTTAAATTGCATGTCAAACACCAGTGAAGTATTTGATGAACACATGGGGAAAGCTATAACAAGGGTATGGAAAGCCGGACTGAATGGTTGGACATAAGATCCCAGGTACCTTACAGAGAAAAAAATGTACACTCATATTCTACAAAAGGCATATAATCCACCTTTTCCCTCAAGAGGCTTAATGGGTGCCAATTTCACTGTACAATGTTCTGGCACATTATAGAGAGGATTTAAGTCAGCAAGACTTAGCACATACTAATCTTTTCCCCTGTGTCCCTGTATCTGTCTATCAACAGGAACCTGAGATGGAGAATCTCCCATAATTGTAATAAGCAGAATAAAGAGAATGTGGCTCTCCGTGCTGTTTACAATATACAAATTAAATCTTTCCAAGTACAAATGATGAGGCATTTGTACCAGAGAATATCCACAGTGGGGGGAAAAAAAACCCTTTAGCAACTTTGTGTATGCCTCCCTTTTCAGACCCTCTAGCATGTACAGTCATCTTTCCTAAAAGAAAATCATAGCCTATAAGAGCCATAAGAGACACAGGCCTGTGCATCTATCTAGGGAAGACTCGATGTGATGTTTACAGAGACGCTGTACATTGTAGGAAGCTCTGTGCTCTGAAAATGCCACGCCAGGCAGACCCCATCCTTACTGAAGGTCATTTTATATCATTTCAGCTCCGACGGCGCTCATGGTGGATGCGTCTAGATGGATAACATGACTTCCTCTACCCTAAAATATCCCTAGGATGTTTTGGGTTGTTGTGCTTCCTCTATTAACCTAAAATACGATTGCTTCCTTTTCTTCCCATTTTCAGTGACATGTTCCCTGTGAACCACAGACTTGTTCAAAGCTTGTGGTCTGTCCTAGCTCTGCAGAAATGGGGCTGCAGTTTCTGTTTTAAGGGTGCTGTTCAATAAAGCTGTGTACACTGAACATCTGTCCTCTCTGAGTGGGCCTTGCTCTGTCCATGGGAGGTTTCAATGAGGTCTCATTGTCTGCATCCAGCCCCACGGCTGAGAAGCATTCACTCGAGAAAGCTGTCGTGCGAATCAGCTTAACCATGCTGCATGGTCAGGAGCTCACATCCCGAATCAGTAACAATGGCAGCCATTTTATAGCTGGACAGCTGGTTTTTCCACTCCAACATGAAAATCCTAGGAGAGATGGAGGTCTTCGGGGTGTTGGAGAGCTGACTTCTCCTCTTTTCCTTCTCTTTCTCCTTATTAATTTCATAGCTTCGTACCAGTACTTATGAAGTATGTACAGGAAGAGTCCCAAGCTGGCCCTTGTTTGGGCCAGATTCTGATTTTATATAATTTTCAAGACCCTAGATGGTAACTTCTAAGATTCTTGAGTTAAAGAACATTGTGGAATGTACAGTCACTAAATGAATGAGGCAAAAGCAATGGTCTGTGCCTAGCCACAGTGTTTAGAGCCTTTCTGTGCCACTAGACCAAGGCTGTTCTCACATCTGAGGAGGGCACTCTGATTCCTACGAGGAGTGACTTCAGACCCAGCACCTCACCGCTGCTGCATCACTTCTTCCACTTTGACTACCTCTGCTTTCTTTACCACCTCACACACTAGCGTTGGAACTACACTATGTCATGCCAGAAAAAGGTGCAAGTTCAAGGTCTTGATCTTTCTATAACTAGAGCTGGACTAAGGAAATGGCCTGGTGCTCGCTCCTCATGCCCACCATATCCCAACTTTGCCCCTTTATAGTGCTGGTCAGCATTAGAGAAACTGGCCCTATAGATCTAGCTATTTTATTTAGCCTGAGATGTCAGTGTTTTGTACTGGGAGTTAGAAATCTTTGCGATCTGAGAATGATGAGGCAGAGGGTGGGTGAATTAAAATCACTGCAAGATCCTCACTACAAACTCTGCACAAGTCCTTTACAAGCTGCAGGCAATAGGAAGTGTCTTTGAAGTCTTCTGACATCCTAGTGATCTGCCTCATGCAGATTTATGAGCATGTACCTCTGGTTCCTGCCACCATCTGTCACATTGTCACATCCGCTGTTCTCAAATCCTCTCCCAGCTATGTGCTCAATCTACTTCTCTAGCAGTTAAAAGGAAAGAAGGAATTCTCAAAGGCACTTGAGAGTCACAGAAAGTCGTCATATGTGTGTGACTGTGTCACGTGCACATGCCTGTACTCCATGCTGGTTAGCAGTTAGGTAGGATGTGGATCAAATAACAAATTCATAGAGCAATTCAACTCATTCATTTTCTTGATCATAAACTGTATCCTCAAACTAGAGTGTTTTCTTGTAAATGTGTAGGAAAGAATGATGGCTGGATCACTGGAAATCCATCAATACAGAACACAAGCTAAGCATGGCAGGCCAGCAGTGTGATCTAGTCTTATGAAAGACAGCATAGAGTGATTGCATGTATTTCCAGGGCTAATCATGAAGTCAGCCTCAAAAGGCCCTTTCTCCCCTTCACTACCCATGCTATGAGGCCCACAGGATCTACCTTTTCTGTTGGCATCATACATCCTTTATAAAATCTTGATTGTCTTGCCAAACCCTTTCTTAGTTTAGATGAGAGGGTTATCCAGGCCTTTCCTATGTTAAATAGGCTTCTTTAGTTATGGTCCATCTTCTTAGCCACAATGACATGGAAAGTATGGGTGACTTATTTCTTTGACCTTCAATATTAAGAGCATGGCTTAAAGATTTCACAAGCATTTTCATAATGACAACTTCTAAAGTAGTGAACACACAAAAAAGAATCACTTTCGCTATTATATAGCACTTAGCGAGATCAAATATTAGAAAATTGCTTGTAATTCATGTAGTATGCTGAATGCAATCTAATGCTATTTTGTAGTTTGCCATGTTTTTACTACTAACACTGCGCGAGGCTCTGTAGTACCTATGAGATGACACTGACATGCACCCACAGACGCTGTACCCCAACCACTTCCCAAATCCCAGTTCCCAGTGGAGCAGTACTTAGGAGACATTTGTCCTGACTTACTTGGTGCTCATTTGGACTGGCTTACTTTTCAGGCCGAGAAAGATGAATTTTCTGTGTCTGATTTGTTTTCAAACACTTTTGCTCACCCAAAGATTCTTTGCTTAAAAACCCATGCTTTTAATCTGACAAAAAAGGGTCAAACTACATTATAAGTATTTGTTATCTGGTCATCCAATATGTTTAGAAACAAAACTGAGAAATTTAATTCAGCCTTTGCCTCTGAAAAACCAAGTTTCCCCCATGGCTGATTTTTGTTTGAGATTAAAACTCTCCATCTCAGTAACAAAAACAGGTAAATTTGTCAGTCAGTATCTGGCAACACCTTGAAGGTTTCCTCAGGCTCTTCAGACTCCCTGTGCATATGAGGAATCACACTCTGTGGCTAATCTTTACTTCATGCAGCTCCAGAGCTCCATTTATAAGCTATAATCAACACAGTCTTCAATTCTATTTCTGATTCTAAAGTGTTAGCCCACATTTAGACCACGATGATCTCTCCTCTCCAGTTCATTGACCTTTTCTTCTCTTACTGGAATGCTTTAATTAGTGTTTGAGGTATGTCCTATCCCAGAAGACTTTTCTATACCCTCTCTTGAAAAAATACAATTGATATGACTTGATAGTATTGGGAAACATAGCAAATATGATCAGTCGAAAGTGACCTTGGAATTCATCTTTCCTCTATGATGCCTATTTAGGATGGTTAGATGTTTATGCCAGGCTGAATTTATGAATTGCTAATTTCCTTTTTTAAAAGTTTATTTCTTTGTTTTGTTTATATATTTATGTGTTTACCTGTGTGAATGTAAAAGCACCACATAAGTGCAATGCCCTCAAAGGCCAGAAGAGGGCGTCAGATCCCCTGGAACTGGAGTTACAGACAGTTGTGAGCTACCATGTGGGTTCTTGGATCTGAACTTGGGTCCTCTGCAAGAGCAACAAGTGCTCTTAACCACAGAGACAGCTCTCCAGCCCAATAATACCTAATTTCCCTGCTGAGACACTTACCTATTTTTATGCATGCATTTTGATTTGCATGTACCAGAGTTTTTATATTTCAGATCTGACTATTGAAATATAAAATGTAGAAAAGAGAAGCAAAGTTTCAAGAAACTTTCTCTTGACACAGTGATTATCCTTGTTACTGTATTCAAGTCAGTTTGGTGAACTTAGTACTATTGCATAAATTAGAGAGAAGCATTTTTTTCCAGTTGAAAATCACGTGAAGAGGGAGCTCACTTTACAAGCCATTCTTCACAAGTTTATCAGTTATTTAAGAATTACTAGAAAGCATATGTTCTTAATCTGCCACATTTTAAATATTGTTTTCCTTTTAACCACTGTGATAAGTATTCTGTTACATAATTTGCTTATATAAATCCTTGTTCCATTAAATCAAATCCAATCCTTTAAGACTATGTTCAGTAAGAGAGAAAAGTCCTTGACCAGAGCTAACACAGCATTCCAATATACACAACGTAATTTTAAAACACAAATTTCAGATTTCAGCAAAATCAAGGGAGTATTCATATATAATTTTCCTTAAGAAAAGATGTTTCCACTAAACTAAAATTACTGGCATCAATTCTTAACCTTCAAAATTACGGGAAACATTTTAACAATACATGTGAAATATTTTGAAATTACTTCATTGTTCCAGAATTCACTAGTTATTTCATTGTGGTAGAGGTATGTGCAAAAGGGGACGTGTGCATGGAAAATTTTGGAAGAAAGCTATTCATCATAAAATGTGTTATTTTCCAGTTTTTAAAGGAATTGATGAAAAAATAAAGATTTAGATTTTTTAAAATAGTCAAAAGTATACTTCCTGCCTTTTAGCCTTCAACAGAACCCACAGGATTCAATATCACTGTCATACCCTCCAGGATGTTCAGCAGTGATAACATGCGTGCTGAGGGATGTGTTTACACCCTCTGCAAAGGCCTGGCATAAAGACAATGAGATATGCAGGCATGCATGCAACCAAGGATGATAGCCTTGCTTCTCCTTAAGGTTCAAATTAGGAAAGATGTATCAGCCATGTCTAGTTATATCAAATCTATCCTGTCTTCCCACACAAATATGTTGGAAGGGCTTATTCCTGAGTAAGAAAGTAGGTTTCATAGACTTGATCCTAAAGCCTACAGTCAATTAGCAATATTAGGTAGAGTTCTCTAGGGAACAGGAGAGAGAGAGAGAGAGAGAGAGAGAGAGAGACGCCTGTTATTTATAGAGAGTGTGGGAGAAGAGAGAGAGAGAGAGAGAGAGAGAGAGAGAGAGAGAGAGAGAGAGAGAGAGAGAATACATGAATGTGTACATTCTAAAAAGGGTATTTGTTAGATCAGTTTACATGATAGAGACTAGATAGTTCAACAGTGTTAATTCACTTGCTGGAGAAGCTAAGAGCTCAGTAGTCACTCAGTCTACCAGGCTAAAGGCCTCAGCAGTCCAAATCTGGTTCAAGAGGCTCCCTAGAGAGTCGCTGGTGCTCAGACCCCATTGGAAGGCTAAAAAAGCTGAAGCCTGAGCAGACAGAAGAAATCAAGGCAGGGGACACTGCTTCTCCCTGAGACCTCTTTATTTCTGCCCATGGGATTGGAAGGTGCTATGCACTTTGAGGGTATATCTTCCCACACACATACAGTCAATTAGCCCTTTCTACAAGCACCCTCATAGAATTCTAAATCCCTCAAGTTGAAAAGACCGTCACAATCATTTATCTTCTTCATGCAAACTGCTATGCTACAAAGGTTTTTAAATCTAAACTGTTCTTTGAGCAAGCATGAGAATACAAGCCTTTGACAGGTCATAATGACCCACAGACCATCGTACCATCGTTGTGAGGTGTGACGGTGCTCATTTTTCTCCCTTCCTTGGTCCCTTTGGAGCTGCAGGAGAGATTCCGATGAAAGGGATTTCACAAGAAGAAAATTTAAGGACCCAAGGTTTTAGCAAAGCCTGCCTCCCGTTCTGTGCTCTGAAGTCGCTGGGGTATTTTGTTTCAGAAAAGTGACCATTTCTTCTTGTTTGTGCCGTGCACATGCCAGCCTCTATGCTTAGTGGCTTTCTAGAAGAAAATGATGAGAGGACTTGGAGGCCAATTTTACGAGGTATAGAAATGATGGACAGTACCAAAAGTCAGAAACTCCCCTGGATCCAGAAATTAATAATTATAGCAAAAAAAATAATTTCTTTAAAATTTCATAAATTTGTATGCTATAACCTCCATGTTTTCCAAGAACCGACTTTCATACAGGAAGAGAATGTAAAATAGAAGGTTTTTAATGATTCAGCCAAACATCAACAAAACTGATGCAAAGGATGGTCACAACAGGAAAGGAAGGAAGAAGCGGCCTGGAAAGAACAGGAAGAGGAAGGGAAACGGGAAGCTAGGCAAATGGAGAGAGGAAGAAGGAAGGAAAAGAAAAAAGAAGGCTATTAAGGAAATCTAGTCAGCTGCCCCTTCCTGGGGCACCAGCAGTTTCCACCTTGTCTCCAGAGTGGCCGATGGCAGGAATGGAACTCCCTGGCTCCACAGACACGACTTCCTCCCATAAAGCCATGCCAGACTAATTTGTCTCTGACATCTTTGTGGTTGGCCGTCCTGGGCCTCTTTCCTCTCCTGGGTCTTCATTTTTGTCTTGCATTCAGCACTGGAGACATACCTGGGTAATTATTCAACTTTTGGGTTAATTTCTGATATTCAAGTAGCAAATAAGTACAAGAAGGCAGGGAAATTATTTCATCTGAAGGGAAGAACCACTGATTATTTCTTACAGTATCATGAGTGGTTTTGCTGACACCTGATGTCAATTCTACCTTAAATTAGAAAGAGGGGTTGGGGGAACCTTAAGATGCAGGAGGAAAACTGTAGGCACTAGATAATGGCATAGAGAGAATTCATTCAGTGGACAAGTTTTAGAGAGCCGTTTTGGTGGGATAATGGGCGTTACAGTAAGCACCAACTATAATGAGTTGAGATGATGATTGACCTTGATGAGAAGATTTCTTCTCACATGATACAAGTCAATATCCTGAAAAACAGCTTTTAGACCTTAGGGAAACTAGGTTCTCCTAGAACATTAATTTAACTGTTGGTTCTAGAGTTGTAGCAATCCAATGCTGGGCATAGCGACTATCATTCATAATAATGTATCACATATTCAAAATTGCTGACAGAATAGATTTTAAATACATACAAAACAAGTGTGTGAAGTGAAAGCTGTACCAGTTAGCTTGATTTAACCCTTCTACAATGTGCACATACAACAGAGCATCACATTGTACCCCCATTCTAATTTATTCTTAAAGTCAATTTTGTCTGTGTATAGTTGCACTTTTTATAGCACAGCAATATTTAATGTAGCAAGTGCTTTCGCAAAGGACTGAGTAAAAATTCAGACAAGCATTACCTGCTAGATATTTTCTTTTAATCTAGATTCTTTATTTATTTTTTATTTTTATTTTATGTGTATGAGTGTTTTGCCTATGTTATGTGAGTGCACCCATGTTATGCAATGCCTGTGGAAACCAGAAGAGGGCGTTGGAGCCCCTGAAACTGGAGTTACAACAGTTATTAGCTGCCATGTGGGTGCTGGAACCTGAACCTGGGTCTTAATGCAAGAACAGCCAGTGCTCTTAACAACTGAGCCATCTCTCCAGCCCTGCTAGACATTTTCTTTATGAACCAGAGACTACACTATTTGAGGAATCTTTAATATATAGTATTATCAAACATCAATTTTAATTAAAATGTACATAACTCTAATATGATAGTCATAAATTTCTGTGTTTTAGGGTTTCAGTCTGATAGAGTGGTACTTTGTAGTGTAACCTTAAACTTTAAAGTTTTATATGGTTTTAATTATTTTATAATCCCTTGTTTGTGATATACAGATATGACACATATGGGATATACAGCTAGTATATGTATATGTGAGCTTCCTGGATATCTGTGACAAAACTCATAATCTAGATCCCTGTGGTTAAATATTTGTTATTTAAACACAGACAGTTTATTTTTATATTTTCCACAATGATGGGGACATAGTTCTAGGCACACTTATAAATAGGAAACGTTCTTTACATTACAAAGGAGTAAATTTTCTTTAAAGGTATTACCAGTTCAGTTGTAATACTAACAATTAGCATATTTGAAAACAAAGCATGGCTGTTCGTCACAATAGATCTTGGGTAAATTTGACCTGGTCATAATTAATCATCATTTATATTCCTATTCGTCCTTTAATAAAATCACATTGAAATCTTAAAGCCTGTCTTTTAAATTGCTGAACAAAATAAAATGTCTTAATCTAAAGTATTAGGAATTGCTCCACCCCATCACTAGTTACACATTAATATTCACATAAGAAATATGAGCATTTATTAATATTGCACCAAGGCATATTTGTGTCTCTCTGAAACCTTTCTTTGTGGTTTCATAGGAACCTGTATTGTACAATGCTCTGGTCTGCCAACCATCTTTAGGTAGTGTTCAAGACTACTCAACAGACACCTGGGGAATTTAGGAAGCGCAAAGACTTCTTGAGTGCCACGTAAAGGCTGGCAGAACTTTGTGAAGTACTGCGTACTCTCCGTGATACCTCCTGATAGATATTAGATGGACTCACGCGGTGTCTCACCATATGCAATCTAAGCACTCATTTGTTAACAAAGAGCAGAGGTCAAGTCTGGGTCATGGTAGCTTGTGTGATTGTGATGATGGTTGTCAGCAGTGTCTTCTCTTAGTCGAACTCTCTGGAAACTTGAAAACAGCTTGAACATTTCAAAATCATAAGACATCTGTCCACATAGAGCTCGGCTGTCCATTGGGGAGTTTCTGTTGCCGGTTTCTGTTCTTGATGCGTTGCTGTGTTTACGCTCTTCTTGGCTTTCCATCTTATTAACTAGCTCTCCTCCCAAGGACAGTGACGTAGAACAGAGCAAAATGCTGGCTAGGGCTGCTCCGGCTTTTCTACAGGGCAAAGGGTAAGTTCAAGTCAGAGTGTGCTGGAATCATCAATTAACTCAACTAAAACGGGAGTTTCTTTTGTCGGAAATGTTTTGTGTGAAAGCAGCTCTCTCGTAACTCCGCTGACAGCACCAAGTGGCCGTTCCAAGTGGCACATCTGTCAGCCACTTTCCTTTTTTCTTTTACTTTTAGTTTGGAGTGACTAACCCGATTTCCCAAAAGACACTAAGTCCTTGTTTTGACCTTTTCCAATGTTTCCATACAGAACTCCTTGTCCTTAACGGTCAAATAATGCAAGTCTGTTTTCTTAAAAGATTTATCTGTATAACACTTTTTGTTTTTAAAGTTGGTGAGATGATTTTGTGAATTTCCTTGCTTGGATTTTGCTTTTTTGTTGTTGTTGTTGTTTTGTTTTGTTTTGTTTTGTAGACCATCACTTAGAGTTTCCCTTTACTGGCTTGGTTTTCGAAATGCTTTTTCTATCAGAAACTCACTTTCCCTTTTTCTGCTTATTTCTGTCCACCTCTCAATCCTTTTCCCTCCCTTCCCCACTTTAGGATACAGTACAGCCTGAATGTGGCAAACAGGCTGGCTGACGAACACGTTCTCATTGGGTTGTACGTCAACATGCTCCGGAACAACCCATCATGGTTAGTGCTTTGTGGTAGACTTGGCTGCTAGCCTGTCCTTACAGAGGGGAATAGCCTGAGCTGGTGACACGCAGCCTTAGCAGGGAGCTAAGACACTGTTGGCCAAAGGTGTTATGTGGCACTTTTCACCTAGTCCAATTAAACAAGGTTTTTGTTGTGGTGAATCTGATGTTCCCAATCAATATATCCCAGAATTCTTATTCTAGTGGAAACCAGTATGGAATGAGGTCAATGACAAATGTCACCATCCAGTAGATGCAGGACTGTGGGACCCCCCAGCAAGCTGGATCTCATGTGTCAGGTTATCACAGGAGGATAATAACCCTCATTCCGGGGGTGTGGAGGTCTTGCTGATCTGAGATACAATGCTTCATTTCACTTCAAATAGAAGTCAAAGCAGGAAAAGGAATGTGATCATAAGATGGAAGTCATTTCTATAACAGTGATAACCAGGAAAGAAATTATCTTTCAACAATTTTGATGACCTGGTGAACCCTGCTTTCAAGTTGCAGTAGAGCAGTTTATTTCAGATAAATTCAGGATTCCATATGCCCTAGTATTAGGATAAAGGAATTTGTAAAGTTTTCTTCTCTATTTCATTATAATATGGGAGACTGGCTAGTTAGTTGATTTTAATAATAAATATGTATCTGAATTTGCATGAAAGAACAGAATAGATTCATATCATGTGTGTTTCAATTTAATCTAGAACATAATTGTACAAACATAGTTGATAAACCAATTCTTTGGAAACATTTAATTTTGTTTCAGAATTCCAAGTGTCCCTAAACTAAGGGCCTGTGGGTTCTGGGAGGCTATAATGAAGAGAAGAAAGTCAGTTCCCAGGAATATGGCTCATACCTTCAACATAGCTGACCCCTTTCTTCTTCTTTATCACAAGGCAAGACAGAAGTTATTTATTTTGGCTCATGGTTCCAGAGGGTTCAGTCCATGGTCACTCAGCATTGTGTTTCTGGGGCCCATTATGAGACAGGACATCATGGTGGCAGGGGCATGTGGGAAAAGAGTTTCTCTGTGGCAGATGGCATCAAATGGGACTGCAGGATGGGGCAGGGTAAGATGTAGCTCCCAAGGGCCTTTTCTCAGTGGCCTACTACCTCTGGCTAGATACCACCTCCTGCCTTTCACCACCCTCCAGTAATGACACCTTATGAGTCCATCAAAGGATTAATCCATTCATTAGTTCAGAACTCTCATGACTGAATCGTCTCTGGAAAAGTCATCATAGATACATCCGAGTGTGCGTCACTGATCCCTGACATTTCTTAATCCATTCAAGTTAACAATCAAATTCAGCCATGTTAGTACGGGAACTAGTTGGGAAGGAGTGGGAGGGCATGAGGGAGCACAGAGGAGAGCAAATGTCATTACAGTGCATTGTATTCAAGTACGATGTGGTCAATTATTTAAAATTAACCATTAGGACATTCCTCAAATATGCAATATGCTTATGTCCCTGTTTCTGGAATGCTTCCGTCCCTTGACAGTTTCCAAAGTTCATTGCCATTGCTGTTTTTTTGACACGTTTGACTTTTTTTTGGTCTTTTTGAGACAGGGTCTCCCTGTAGCCCCAGATGTCCTGGAACTCACTGTGTAGACCAGGCTGGCCTTGAATTCACAGAGATCCACCTGCCTCTGCCTCCTGAGTACTGGGATTAAAGGCATGTGCCACCATGTTTGACTTATTTTTACAGAATCAGTATGTAAGACAATTCATCACTACTGAACATTGTTTACAATGGCTATATAGTAAACATTAATTTGTGTTTTAATGTATAACTATCACACTGATTTAATTTCAGTCTAAGTTCTACTCCTTGGGGAGATAAAAATTCACCCTACATTTTGTTCAAATCTCCAAAGAGAAAAGCTCCAAGTTTGTCACCCCCAGTCATTTTCCCTACTCCAGTGATTACTCAAGTCTACTGGATAATTACCTAAGACTATCAAACTATCCAGAAGAGATACCTTGTATCTGCTTCATGAAACCATGTAGGCAAGACTGGTCCACGGGGGCAGAGTCTGCAGGAGCAGCTACCGCCATAGTCCTTACAGTTTATGTCCTTAAGAAGTTCCTATTTCTGCTAGGTGTGGTGGTGCCCACTTTTAATCCCTGTACTCAGAATTTGACACCCTCTTCTGTCCTCCTTGGGCATTGCATGACACAGGTGCACTTACACACATGCAGGCAATACATGCATACACATAAAACAAAAATAATAAATTTTTAAAAAGAACAGTAGCTACTAACAAGTTTCCATTTACAAATTAATACTACCCTGAGTAGTAAGTTCTAATTTTAATTGTAACGTTCAAAAGAGTCAATAATTTTTCTCTTTGATATCTTTTATGCCCAAGCAGCCAGAATACCAGTATCTTCCACTGATAAAATGTTTTGTAAATTACAATCCATTTGCCACACTTCATTCTTTAACTTCTTCACAAGGCTAGATATTTTTATTCCTGTTTCACTGATAAGAAGATACAGGCTTAATACAAAATGTAAGGACTGGTCCAAGGTTGTGTGCTGGTAAGGGCTTGCATTCTAGTATTCTGAGAATGAGCCCCATCCCTTTCCCTCCTGTCCCTCCACCTGCTTGTCTGTGCACCTTTCATGAGATGCTCAGCAAACAGACACCTCATGTTTTCATCAAAAGCTGAAATTTTGTCATTATTCAGTCATATTCCTGGTGGACTCTGAATGAGGATCTTCTAACCTACATTAACTACTTAGCACAATGGAAAACTGGCTAATTTGTGAATAACCTTCTGCCAAGTTAAAGAAACACTATATCACTGGTGTTTCTTATGTACAGTAAGCCAAACAAGTCAACGACAGCTCAACAAGAATGTGTGACGCCCTCCTAATGTTTTATAAACACTGTTTCCTAAGTACCTTGTCCAGTGAGAAAGGAGGAGGTCTCCAAAAGTAATACAAAGAAAACGTGTACTTTCCCCTCCCTTATCAAGTATCTGGGCTTGCCAGTGGTTTATGGAGAAGATCTGTGGCAGGCAGAACAAAGGACTGGAAACAAACCCAGACCATCTGCCTGTAACCACAATTATACCCACACACACACCATCCAGAAGACCCAGTGCATTTCTCACAACTTTGTAAGGGAGGAAAGGAAACAACTAAGGGGTACAGACTTTAATTTGCTGTCATAATCAATTGCTGGTACTTGATTAGACTCCTGTTCTCCTATAACTAGGTTAAAGCTGGTCTGTTCTTGCTTTTCTCAAGTACAAGAAATTACACATTTCTATTATGAATAGATTTCTTGCTAAGTAGATTTATAATACAACTTTACATTTAATTACAATTTAATTTGATCTCCAGCACCACATAAACTCAACTTGGTGTCACAGGCCTGCAATGCCACCACTTGAGAGGTAGAGGAAAAATGATCAGAAGTTCAAGGTCATCCTCAGCCATCAATGAATTTGAGACTAGCTGGGCAACACGAGGACTTGTCTCAAGAAAAATAAACTAATAAGATATATAAATCGCTCCATAATGTATTATATAGGGGGAACCAGGTATAGCCACTTGATCCTAAAAGTGCTTCTTTCTGAATTTCATTTGTGAATTTCTTATTAGCTGCCCTGCCCACTGAATTCCTATTTCACTTAATGTACAACCCAGACCCTTTATCATGGTCTGTGTATGGGCTAGTCCTGGCTAACCCTCTCTCAGCCTCAGTTGCCCTGGGATTCTCTCATTCAGTCATGATAGTCAGATCACTATTGGATCAGTTTCTAAATCAAGCCATACCCTTCCCTAGCTCAAAATCAAGAGAAGAGCCCCTTTCTCATTTCAGAACTTGCCCCTCCCTGTACTGGTTGGTGAGTTTACCATCTGTCTTCCCACTATGGTTTGATAGATGATAAAACCAGTTACTTCAGTACCATAACTCTGCCTGGTACTCAACAAGTACCAATACACACTTGCTGTTATTGTAGAATATTGAAAGTGCTATGGGTATAAAGTTCCCCCTTACCAAATGAAATTGTTAAGAGCACTCAGAAAATGTTTACTGTTTTAAAAAAATCATTTTGGAAAGTTAGAGAGACAGGTCAGTGGATAAATAAAGGGTCATTTAAGGATGAGAACCAGAGTTCAAATCTCCAGAATCTGTGTGCATGCTAGGTAGCCATGGCCACCTGTAATCCCAGCACTCAGGAGGTGGGGATAGAGGATCCCAGGGTGAATTTTCTAACTAGATTAGTGGGAAGGGCAAGCTCTGGGATCAGCAAGCAACCCTGCTTTAACAGGTAACATGGAGAGAGATCAAGAAAGACACCTGACATCAACCTCTAGCCTCCATGTGCATGCACACACATACATGTACACCTAGAACCACATTTGCGAACACATATTTATACAATATGTATAGCATTCATACATATATACAAAAAAAGCACAGAGAGTTGCCCTTAGTACCCCTTAAGAGTATGAGGTAGATGAAATGGAAATATGGACAGAGACAACACCACAGTTCTCTGATATTATAACACTAATTAATAGAGGGGGGTTTTTAATTAAAAAAAAAAAAAAAAGTCAAAGTGATAATGGGCTGCCAGTCCCCTCTTGGCCCGAACTCCACTGCCACCAGGAGACCATTGCGCACCAGTCTCTATAGCGGACGGTCTGGGCGGGAGAGAGACCAGTGGGGGGAGGGAGGCCTCAGGCGGCAGTGAGTACGATGGAAAGAAAAAACTCCAGGAGACTGTGTCAGTGGACAGCTCGTTTATTATGCAGGAAGAGAGGTTTATATAGGAAAGTTTCTTGGGCAAAGAGGCCAGGTTGGGTTTCTAGCAGGCAAGCAGGTTGGGGGGAGGGAAAGGGGTTCTAAGGCTATGTGGCCTTTGTCCTGTCCTCCAGTCACATGATCTACAAGGGACCTGGTTAGAATTAAAGGATTAGGGACTTAATAGTTTTGCTTGGGGGTTGTTGGGTAAGAGACAGTGTATCTAGAATGGAGCAGGCCAGTTTCCTGCCATCCTCACTAGGAGGTATCCTGCCTGGTGGCCAGGCTCTACATTCCAGGCACTCCTCACTATCCCAACAATGGGCAAGAATTTTTTAAGAGTAATCTTCTCTGGTCTCGTCTAGCTTGTATTTGTTTGTGAAGCCGCTCTATCACACACCACAGACTGAGGGGCTTGACATAGACATTTATTTATTCTCACATATCTGAAGGCTAAAGGTCCAAGACCCAGGTATCAGCAGGGCTGGCTTCCTCAGCCATTCTTGACTGAAGATGGACCACATCCCCACTGTGCCCCAAAGAGTGTCTTCCTCATGCTGTGCTTTCCTAACATTATTTTCTCTTCTTAAAGGGCACAAGCCATGTTGGATTAGAACCTGTGGCTTATCATTTCATATAAACTTAACTACTGACTTAAAGACTTAGTTTCCAAAGAAGGTCATATAGTCAGTGGGTTGTTAGAGCTTCAATAAATAAATTTGAAGGGAGACACAATTTATTCCATAACATACATCAACACTGAATCCACTAAACTAAATGTCTGTGTTTTTAATGTATTGCTAAAATTTGATTGTTGTTAAGGTCTTAATAGGGAAGTTTGAAGATATTCCTAAAGGAAGCGACTAACAGTTTTTATTTTAATAGCTAATTCATTAAAGAGTCATGATGGTAAGCTTCAAGGTTCCCCTTCATTCTTTAGTCATATAAAATCACTGCCCAAGCCCTAAGATCACTTCATTCTTTTCCACCTTGGCTCTCTTCTGCTCACTGTCCCCTAATTTCCTAGGCAGTGCTCTTTATCTATAACATTTTGTTCTCATCCACCTGATTTTTTAAAAATCTTCCAAGCTGGCAAGATGGCTCAATGATGAAAGACATTTGCTACCTTGTCCCATTACCTGAATCAGATCACAGAGACCCACATGGCAGGACAGACCGGTTCCCATAAATTGTCCTATGACCTCCATATATGCATTGTGGCATGTATGTACACATACCTACACATACACATACACAAACATATATACATAGATATAGATATCTTCCACTTATGCATTAATGAATATTCCTTTCATAGATGATAATATAATCCTCTAATTAGCTATTTGCATTTTAATAGAATAAGACATGAGACTTCATAGCCTTACAATTAATCTGTAGTATTGAATTTTATTTGTCCAGATAAATAGAAAACAATATTCAGAGAGAATATGAAAGTGTTTCTAGTACCTTATGGTCACAGCATTTTTTGTTTGTTTGTTTGTTTGACTGCCTAATCTGGAAGGCAGATCAGGTCTACACACAAAAGGAAGAGAGGTAAGGAGGGAGGGAAGAGAGAGAGAAAGAGAGACAGAGAAAGGAGGGGGGACAGACATGAGTTCTCAGAAACCTTTCCTAAATCCCAATTTAGTAAGCCCTGGCCTCACTTGGCGTCACCTGAGTTTTCAGGAATGCCATTAGAAATTCCTTGCAGTGCACACTGGCTGTGTGCTTAAGACAGAAAAAGAAGAGCTTTCAAAATAATGGATTTCTCCACTCTGAAATACAGTCAACAGAGCCTTTTAGAACATCATCATCTTGTAGCAAGATTACCGATTATTACAGAGTCTGGAAATGAATAGGTAGCTCTAAGGAAAGTGCCAGAGCTGGTATTGATTTTAAAGATTTAGGGTTTGCTAGCCATTTATTTTCAACTGTATGTAATTGAGGTCTTGGAATAATGGAATTTATCAGAAGAATATCTCATTCACCTTTGTGTAATTTGAACATACTGAAAGGCTCATGTGGGCTCATAAATCACCAGTGTAGAACGGGGTGATATATCTCCTGAGTGCTCATTCACACTGTGTAGGGGAGAAAGGCATGAACTGTGAGTTACTGCTTATGAGGCAAAAATATCATATCTTTGGGTCATACATTGCCAGGAGGATTTTTTTTAGATAACCCTCCTAGTAAATGTTTGCAGGTCATTCATGATAAAAGATATTTTTACCATGACGATTTTTATCAAGTTTTTTTTATTACATGTTTATCAAAGCACTCATGAGTGTTTCTGACAAAGTCACTTTCAAGCAGTTAAACAGATAGTCATCCTGGGCTTGGAGCAATGGACATTGTGACCTATGCAAACTGTGCTAAACTAAGCAGTTTCAAAAATAACTTTTTGAAAGACACCAACCAGAAATTACATGTTAAAATCAAACTACATGGGGGCTCAGCAGATAAGAGCACTGGCTGTTCTTAAGGACCTGAGTTAGTTCACAGAACCCACATGGTGGCTAACAACCACCTGTAATTCCAGTTCCAGGGGATCCGATGCCCTCTTCTGACCTCCTTGGGCATTGCACAACATGAGTGCACTTACATATGTAGGTTATACACTCATACACATAAAATAAAAATAACAAAATATTTTAAATACAAACTAAATGGTATCTTAGTAGGTTAGTCATCTATTTAAAGCAAAGATGGTGCAACTTCCCATTTCCTTAAGCTGTAATAAGAAACATAACCACTTCATGCACTGCAGAATGCAAACATTGTTTTAGAAAGACACCCATCTGCTTTCAAACACCAACTTTCCAGAAATAATTCTGACTTTTGCTGTTAAAATTTATTTTCTTACTCCAAGCCTAAATCTGAAGGCTGACAAAAATCTCAGTCTACTTTGATATTGATAGTATATGTGAGCCCTTTATCTTCTGTCTCAAGGGGACTTTTAAAAATATTGCACTGTTATATGAATATCAATTAAATACTCATGAAAATGTATATTGATTTTCCATTTAATTTTCAAGATCTCCTAGATCCTCCTGCTCAAGGATATTTTTTGGACCAGGAATATCATCTTTTGAAAGCTTGTCAGAAATGCAAATTCTCAGCTTCCACCCCCAAACCCCAATCAACCCATCACCCCACTATAGAATTCAGAAACTAAGTGTTCACATCCCTATGTAGCATGTGTAGACTTTAAAGTTTGAGAAGCACCAATCTGGGTATCTCAGATAGTAAGGAAGATTGAAAAAGAGACAAGAATTGTTAATGAATCTAACAAATTTTAAGTTTTTATTGCTTTTTTTTAGAATTTCAGGCAATATATTTTTAATATATTTAGACCTCCTCCCATCTGCACCCATACTATTCCCCACTCAATTCCATGCACTCTCTTGTGTGTCTATGTCTATGTATATGGAGAGAGAGAGATAGAGAGAGAGAGAGAGAGAGAGAGAGAGAGAGAGAGGAATTGTTCAAGATTAAAACTGGTAGGGTTTACAGATGTGAGGGATACAGATGAATAGAGTTAATAGAAACTGAGAACTCTTCCAAATGCCCAGGAAAAGGTTGTTATGGTGATGAGTTTGGCCAAAAAGGGAGGCGCTCCTGGCATAGGGAACACACCTAGAGGGCATGAAGAGTTCCATTCACTGTCTCACTTCAAAGCAAAGGTTTAGAAGACCATGTTGCAGGTCTACTTTATATGTAACTATACACATAAACAAGAATATGTTACTTTATGGATTTGAGTCTTCACAGTGGAAAACTGAATAATATTGATGCAGGAGGGTTTTAATGGGTAATCATGATTATTAATATTGTCTTTAAGAACAAAATGGAAGAGTCAGTGAAGAATCATCTGAGTGTTTGGGGAATGAGATGAACTAGCTTGTAATTTCAATTCTGACATTTATGCACATCGTACTAACTGGAAAACCAAACCAAGATGAGTCTGTTAAGAAGACTGTATCATTGGTATATCTTATGGAATTGTCTTAGTGTCACCCAAAGCAGCCTTGAATGAAGATCTTAAAAAGACAAAGTTTTCTGAAATATTAGAGTCCACACTGCTTGTGCTTGCACTAGTTTTCAGGTATTCAGATCAGCCTTATTGTAGTATAAGCAGTTTCTGTAAATTGTTATGAAGCCACTAAAAATTTCTCATCAGTGCCATTGGGAGCCACCACTGTAATTCTACATCTTTGGAAGCAAATATTAAAAGCAAGTGGTACTATAGCTAAGATCACATTGGCTGTCTATTGCAGCATGGCATATTACCCCAGAGCTCAGGAACATAAAACAACAAACACATCATCTCACAGTTTCCTGAAGGAATTTTGGTTGGGCTTAGTGAGGTGCTTTTGGCTGGAAGATGTTTGTGGGGTGATGGTCCACCTGTTGTCTCCAACTCCAGACTCACCTGTAGCTTCAGACAGCAGGGATGCATTCACGTGATTACTGGTCAATTTGGGTCTTCATCACACTGGCAGGTGTATGACAGGGCAGTTAGCTTCCCATAGGACAAGCACCATAAGAGACTTCAAGAGAGAGAATGACCAAGTTGGAAGTTAGTCTTTTAAAACCATGTTTTGGAAGTAACATCCCATTCTCTCTGTCATACTCTTTTATCAAAGGGAAGTCAGTAAGTACAGACTGTAGTAAAGGGAGGAAATGACATAAGTATGTGATAGCAGGCGAGAGGCACAGGGTCAAGGACACTCTAGCTGGGTCTTTGCCCTTTCTGCTTGCTTGTAGATCTTCTAATGTCAATTTTGGACATGTAGAATTTGCATAACAGAATAAATATATTAAAGACAATAAAATTAAAGAGAAAGTACTTTTATGCCAGAAATGTCAGACAGGAAAGTCACTTTGGTTTGGAACTTTCTTAAAAGGGTGATTGAACTGACTGAGCTAAAGGATGTATTATTGACCTTCCTGGCCACATATTGGATCATGTCATGAATCCAACTGGAGATCCTTAACAGGACTGTGTATAGCTTGCAAAATCTTGACATTGAAGAAGAGAAAGAGCAGAAGCCCTTGTGGTGACAGGAGAAGATTGGTCTCTCCTGGTGGCCTAACAGCATCCTGTTTGCTTTGTTCTCTGTAGTTTGCTTGAGAGTTCAAACCGGCTTGACGAAGAACACAGGCTGATCGCCAGGTATGCGGCACGGCTGGCTGCAGAATCCTCCGCATCCGTAAGTAGAGTGACAGGACTCACCTGCTGGTACCGGGGATCCCTTCCTGCTGGTACTCTGGTGTTATTAACAAGACAATTAGTGCTCATTCACTGTTCATGTCTTTGTTGCTATAGTTATGGTGGCTTGGTAGTGAATTCTCAGTTTGAAAAAGGGAGACCAAGTCATTCAACCTCTATAGTAGTGTGGAACTTCAAGCTGGAAGCCCCCCATACCACCTCTCCTCTACCCAGTCTCATCTTCACATGAGAACCTGAGGAAAGGGTGTTCTGTTTTTCCATTGTGTATATATATATTCTAAGTCTGCAGAAAAGATGGTTCTTGGAATAACAATTTAATTTTCCATACTTGCACCTCCTTTTTAGATGGAATAGTTTCCTCTCATCAACATATCCCATGACTCCTGTCTCCCCAGAACATGTAGATTCACATTCTCCCTACTTAATCATGCCAACTACATATTTTACAGCAGCCAACTCAGCAGAGGAATGCTCCCGACATCTCCTTCACCATCGATGCAAACAAACAACAAAGGCAGCTGATCGCAGAGCTGGAAAACAAGAACAGGTAAGGCTCGGGACATGTGCTGCGAGTCTGGGATTTCCTGTACTCCTGCTTCTGGGATGACACTTCAAGTCACTGATGGTGGCTTCTGAAGAGCTGGGCTTCAGACCTTCAGGTCTATAGAAGCTGAGTGTGTGTATACGAATCTATGGTGTGTGTGTGTGTGTGTGTGTGTGTGTGTGTGGTGTACATGTGTTTCTGAAGTGTTGACATGATTGATGCTCTCCCTTCAACAGCCCTCATTTCCCCTTTTCTGACACATCTGTTATTTTTAACAAACTATTGTTCAAGAGGACCTTCCCGGGTCCTAGGTGGTGTGTGTCTCTGTCGCTCAAGAATGAATAGGAGGATGAAGTTTTCCTAGAAAGCTAAAGACACACTTGGTGGGAAACCATCAGCCAGCTGTTCAAGCCAAACATCTCCATGTGCACTCCATCTACAGGCTCCCTCTCTGCTCAACACGGATTGGTCCTTCTGATCCTAGCTCCACAGAGTCTCCCTAAAACTATCCACTTCATCCCCACCAGCAGCTCCCAACCAACCTGCCATTTTAAAAACATACATCATATCGTATTTTTCCCGGGACAAAACCCTCATAGTATTTTATCACACTCTAATTAAAACGCTCTCCTGTCATCATGCCCTGCGAGGTCCTACGTCCCCTGCCTCCCACCTGCCTTTCCAGCCTCAGCTCCCCTGACCATCACACACCAGCCTCATCTGACTTCTTTGCTTCCTTTTCACTAGTCCTCCCTCCAGAAAGCTTTTCCACTGGGCTCCGAAACAGAAACAGTAACAGTGTCCGCATATCACAGAACTGTGACTGGGTTAAATAAACAAGATGAAAGACGACAGCACAGCACCACCAAAGCTCATTCTGTCTGGTTTATCATTATTATTATCATGGTCCTGTTCATTCTTTTCCTCCCTTGTGCTAAACACTCTCAAGCTTCTCTCTTTGGAACCCACAGAAAGAAACAAACTGAAAACAGAAAATATCAGGGTGCCTGCCCTTTAGCAAATCTTGGAAATCCCAGTGAGCTAGTTCTCAGGCTCGGCTCTCTAGCACCACAGGGACCCTGCAGAGGTACCAGAAAAAGGGGAGGATGGTTAGCAGCACATGACCTGACCCTTTCTGTAACCACAGCAGGCCCTGTTCCCTGTCTAGTATGGATGATGAGTTTCCATGGAATTTTTCTCTTAAAGAAATATTTCTACTACAGAGAACCAAGGAGGGAGAAAAGGTTGAAAGCCACTGACTTATAGTCCAAACTTCTTTCCACACCCAGCAAAAGTGTAATAATGACTCACTGGTAATTACATTGATTCACAAATGTTCATAAAGTACCTGTAAATCAGCCTTTCCTACGGAAGACCATTGAATGCCACTCTTTGGGTTATTTGGGGTATACAATAATAGGGGTTTTCTTGGTTTTTGTTTTGGTTTTGGTTTTGGTTTTGGTTTTTTGGGGTTTTTGTGTGTGTGTGTATGTGTCTTTTTGAGACAGGGTCTCCCTATAGCCCCAGCTGTCCTGGAACTCACTATGTAGACCACAGAGATCTGCCTGCCTCTGCCTCCCAAGTGCTGGTGGGATTAAAGGCGTGCGCCACCACGCCCAACACAATAATGGTTTTAAACTGTCATCACCCCATTCTACTATAGAATACCAAAGCTTGACTTTTAATATCTATACTTTGGTATCCATTATCCAACTTAGAGGAATCTGATGTTCTCTAGAGAAAATAGATCATCAACTTGATTTGATCATTACACACTGTATATATGTATCAAATTATCCCATTGTGCCCCATAAATGTGGATGGTTATGTGCCAATTGAAAGATACGAAGTGCGGAAAGTGCCCCCAACACACACACACCTTGCTCACCAGGTTTGTGGCCCACTCTCAGTGCTTTGTTCTGTCTTTATGGCTCTTGAGCTTTTTGTTAAGTAGGAGCCTGACACCCCCACGGCCCCCAAGAATATGTGATTAATAACCCTATTAATAGCTTTGGATTCACTTACAGATAATTTGCCTCACACAAGGCACATGCCACTAATGGCTGGCCTAAGGTTCACCCACATGCAGGGAAGCCCCTAGCATCAATAATGAACAACGACGTATCTCATTGCCTGATCGAGGGCCTACCAATAGTGCTCTGTGTCACAGACTCTGTTACCGGGAGTCCTTTTTTAAATGACTTCCTTTCTTTTATTCTTCCATTAAATATGTGCCATTTTCCTTTTTTAAAAATTTGATTATTTTAAATTATGTTACATGCATGTTTGTGCCTGTGTGGGACAGAAGAGGGTCCTGGGTCCTCTGGAGATGGATTTTCAAGTGGGTGTGAGTCAAGTAGGTGTGATGTCAGTTCTGGGAACTGGACTCAGGTCATCTGCAAGAACAGGATGTGCTCTTAACAGCTGAGTCATCTCTCTAGTTTGTATGGCATTTTCTTTTATTTTATTTTATTTTATTTTTTTTGCAGTGAGTCCTTTATAGAGCCTTTCTTCAGCGAGGTGTGGTGGCAGTAGGTCTTTATTCCCAGTTAGAGCTACAGGGAGACCGTGTCTCAAAAACAGCACCAAAAAGCCTGCATTCTTTGAAATTCATTGTTAAAACTGAAGACGTGAAGAAAAAAGATAAGATTTTGCTGAATATGAGGTTTCTGTGATCATTTCAGTGAGAAGAATTTTATTATTTTATTGATGGTAAAGAGAACAAAGTTACTTAGTTCTCTGAAATGAGTACCGTTTATCCCTCTTTCTCACCAAGCACCTCTCCTTTGGTCTTGTGGGTGCTGCGTGGGTCAAAGTGTGATAATGAGTAGTAGGAAGACATTAAGAAGTGCACTCATCAGTGCTAAACACATTGCCACTCTGAAAAGAGGCTAGGTCCCCCGGGTGTACTGAAAATGAAGTGAGCCTTCCCCTCACCCATCACACCAGTAAATGATGGCCGCTTAGGTGCAGGGCACATGCTGGTTAGGGACCGGGTAGGGAAGCCCAGGTCTGCCTCCAAGCACAGACAATCTCCTGGCTCGGCTCTGCTGGCCTGCTGTGTCCATGCCAATGTCCTGGAAGGTCACTGACCCTGGCTTCTCACCTTCCTCCTCTCTCCCAAGAGAAATCTTACAGGAGATCCAGAGGCTGCGGTTAGAGCATGAGCAAGCTTCTCAGCCCACCCCCGAGAAGGCTCAGCAGAACCCCACCCTGCTGGCAGAACTCCGGCTCCTCAGGTAAGAGAGGCCACCCAGATCATCTCAGGGGGCCCTCAGAGCATCTCATGTTTGAGAGTTTTTTAAGTGTGCGTCTATATGTGTGGTGTGTATGCATGCATGTGTGTTCACGTGTGGGTGCATATGTGGAGGTCTGATATCTATACTCAGAAACATCCTCTATCACTCCTCTACCATCTGTGTTGACGGTTTCACACTAAACCCTGGAGCGCACCAGTTTGGCTAATCTGGGTAATCAGTTTGAGCCCCTGTCTCTGCCTTGGAGTTTGGGGATTACATGTGGGCCTCCATACCCACCTGCATTTGTGTGAATTCAGGGGATGGACTGTTTTCCTCAGCTCGCATGGCAAGCACTTTACACACTGAGCCAACTCCCCAGCCCCAGCATCCAGTCGTCAAACAGTTCTGAGCCGCCATAACTGCTGACATTTGTTTGGTTTCAATAAAATATACTTAATTGCAGAGATTTGGGCAATTTTGAGAAACAATTATGTTTCATTGTTTTATTAGACACAGAGAAAAAGAAACAGTGTTCCTCAAATCAAACCCAAAATATGCTCAGCTTTAACTGGGCTGTTTTCGGTCATTTACACTGTCAAAATATGTTAATGTTCAACACATAAGCAACCAAATAAATATCATGGGTTTGTAAATTGAAATAGATAACACAAAAGAGAATATGATTTTTTTTCTAAAGCATATCTAATACCTTCAGAAATAGTGGTGCCTCATGATGCAGGCCTGGAATCCCAGATACCCAAGAGGTGGAGGCAGGAGGCTCATGAGTTCAATGCCTGCCCAGACTGCAGAATTAATTCAAGGCCAGCCCAAATAATACAGCAAGACCTTGTCTCAATTTAAAAAGGGGGGAGGGCAGGTCATCAGCTCAGTGGTAGAGTTCTTCTGTAGCATGTGTGAGCCCTGGAGTGACTCCCAACAGCTCTTTAAAAATTATATTTCACACCTTAGTGTTCTGCAGTGGATAGAAATGCCTCCTCTTGTCTAAATGGTTGCCTCAGAATATCTGAGTTGGGAGGGACCGTGGAAGGTTGTGACTAATCTCAAGTGTCATTGACCTTCTCACACAGAAAGCTGGAGAGTGGTCACCACTAGATGAGGGCCTCAGTGTCCCACTGCTGAGAATGTGGGTATTAGTCAAGGTTTCTCCCATGAAACTGGCTTTGCACCATGCCTTGATGGTGACAGATATGCAAGTGTATTTATGTAGCAAATAATATAGAGCAAATTCAGAGCAATTCCCTCATAGAAATATCATACTGATCTTTCACAAGGCAACTTTAACTAGTGGGGATTATACTTCTTTACCCTTCAGTGTAGGTGCTAAGTACATTCCCTGTAGATCTGAAACTCTGAGCCATACTTTCTAGAGTAAGTACAGGTACCTCTTCTTAGAAACTCTTACAAGAATTCATTCCATTTTTCTTCATTCACACAGAGACTAAACATTGAAGATATCACCATGTTTGAATGTTCTCAAGTACCTACTGATTGCAGTCATGAATGATTCTCAGGGTCCAAAGAAGCCCTATAGCCCCCCACTTGGCCCAGTTTACCAGCCCTGCCTTTCCCAGGCCCATGACTGGAGCAGACCCATCAAAGGCTTGACTTGTGGAAAGGAGATTGACAGGACTTGCAACTTACCAAAGCTGCTTAATATGGAGCGCTTGCCTTATGCTTTTTTTAATTATTTATTTAATAACCACATACTTAGAAGAAGCATTTCATTACATCAGCATTGACATATTCAATAACAATTTCCTGAGCTAGGCTGCGTCTCTTATAAAATTGGCTGTACATTTTTAGGTTTACAGTTGAATTATTACAGTTATACAATATTGTACTCAGTATAAACCCTATAAGACATAAAATTAAATGAGGTTTTAACCTTTAAAAAAGATCTCCATTTCATTATTAAAGTACAGTTTCATACAGAAAAATTCATTTTTAATACAATTGACACTAAGATGCACATGCGTTTCTAATCTCTATATATCTGATTACTAGTCACAGTCGGTTACTTTCTGAGCTCCTTGGCATCTGAGCATGGATATAAAGTCATCAGGTAGATTTCAATGGTAATGTTTTATAAAATTTGCTCCTTAATAGGAGCAAATTTTTATGCTTTGAAGAATTATTATTATTTTTTACACCTACTTCCCAGATAGCAGCCTCCCATAGCCTCCCTCCTCCCACTAGAGCCCTTATACTCTGACATCCCTGCTACTGTCTGTTGTATTGTCAGAACCCCCAGCCATTCCCCACTACTTGCCCTTCTGGTGAATCTAGTCAACCTATCTAGAGGTCTTTGTTTTAGGAGGGT